TTCAGCAGTTCGAGACCCGAATGTGCCGCATGCTGGAGTGAGCTCCCATCTCTAGTTCCAGCTCCTGCCAACCTAGCAGTTCAAAAGCAAGAAATTGCAAGTAGATAAATAGGTACCACTTTGGTGGGAAGGTAACAGCGTTCCGTGCGCCTTGGTGTTTAGTCATGCCGGCCATATGACCATGGAAACGTCTTCGGACAGCGCTGGCTCTTTGGCTTTGAAACGGAGATGAGCACCGCAACCCTAGAGTCAGACTCGACTGGCTTTCGAGCAAGGGAACCTTTACCTTTACCTTTAAATAGGTACCACTTCAGTGGGAAGGTAACAGCATTCCGTGCGCCTTGGTGTTTAGTAATGCCGGCCACATGACCACGGAAACGTCTTCGGACAGCGCTGGCTCTTCGGCTTTGAAACGGAGATGAGCACCGCAACCCTAGAGTCAGATTCGACTGGCTTTCGAGCAAGTGAACCTTTACCTTTACACCCTGAATAGGTCTCTGGAGAGCCCAGAGATAAAAATTCCCTCAGTAAATAAATCAGTGAGTGTGTGCATGAAATGAATGTGGCCTGAGAAACGGAGATGAGCACCGCAACCCTAGAGTCAGATTCGACTGGTTTTCGAGCAAGTGAACCTTTACCTTTACACCCTGAATAGGTCTCTGGAGAGCCCAGAGATAAAAATTCCCTCAGTAAATAAATCAGTGAGTGTGTGCATGAAATGAATGTGGCCTGCCCCATTCCTCACCGCAGACCTGCCGCTCCTGACAGACAGCAAAAACAAGAGGTTGATCAGGTAACCGAGCTGGTCATGAACTGTGCAGACCCAAGTTAAACAGAGCAATTAGAGATGTTGTATAGCTACACGGGTACGGAATCTTACTTCTGGAGGAAAAACTTTCAAGCTTGGCCTCAACAGAAGTATTTTGTCTCGTAACAGTGTCCCCTAGAGAATCAATTTAACAGCAAATAACACCTCCAGCCCTCACTTGTATGCCTGCCTCTTTATCTCGAGCTACAATGCTACAGGATTTTTCTGAGTTTCTACTGGTATCATACTGGTTCATGAAGCCAACTCCTCCTTCTGCCGACAGTACCAAAAAACCCCAAACATACCTTGTGCTTAAATTTGTTGGAATTCTTGTTCTCTTTCTTATTTAGATCAATGAAGTAGTGTGTGATGCGTTCCTTGGATTTAGAATCCATCTCCCATGAAATCTTAAAGGAGTCACAGGTGATGTTGCTGATTTTGATGTTGTGGGGCACCGGGAGCTCCTCCATCTCTGCAATCCCACTGTCTTGCGATTTGTTCCCTGTGAGGGCATGGATAAAATAGGCCACAGTTAGCAAAAAGGGCTTGCTGGAGGAATACGGTAAAAAAGACACTATGGGGTTAAGGCTGTACCTTTAAGATCTGAAAAGTACAAGTGGACGCACAGGGGGGAGCCAAAACGGGGACGGTCAGAACAGAAACCGGTAGGGCTCTGGAAGAACCAGCAGGTCAGAGGCTGAACTAAAGCAGAATCTGATAAGCCACGGGCACAGTTAGGGTTGCCATTCCCCAGGTCTGGGTGGGTAATCCCCCAGTTTGGGGGGCTTCTGCCCACTGCCGGCCAGCTGGCTGGTAGGGAAAACCCTCCCACCAAGCAGCGATGTCCCTGTGTGACATCACTGACATGAATCAGGGGTCATTTCCTACGGGAGCGCACAGGAGCAGAGCTCTGGCAGTAAAGAGCCCAGGGGGCGGGCACATGCAACAAGCCCCACCCCCTGCTCCCAGCAACCCTCAGTCAGAGCAAGAAGCAGCCAGGTAAGCTGCAGAGCTCCCCCCGGCCCCCTGATCCAAATAGTCCAGTGGCACCTTTAAGACCACGTTTTATTCAGGTACAAGCTCTCCCTCCTCTGCGAGGACAGATCTGCACATTCCCCCCAATAGCTAGCAATCCAGAACAGTCCAGTGGAGCCTGAGCGGTGGGTGTTGCCTTCTGACACACTTCCGGTGATGTCAGGGGGTGTGATATATGCAAATAAGTTATGCTAATGAGTTATGCTAATGAGCCCCTGCACCTCTTTTTCTACGAAATGACCCCGGACATGATGATGTCACATGTTGCCCCACCCTACTCCTGGAAGGCTCCCTCCCACCCCACCTCCACGCGTGATAAGTACCTGGCAACCCCAGGCCCACTTGAGGAAATCTGGAGCTTTTCAGATCCTAAGGCCTCGCCTGTACACATGCAACAGAACGCGGTGGTGGGCTCCCGAGCGTGCGGAATGAACTGTGCCACTTGAGACTGAAGGTGGAGTTGATCACAGTTTTGAACACTCTTGACATGGGAAACCAAGCAGACAGCTGGCACCTCAGGAAGAAAGAGCTGATGGGATCCAGCTAGCCCTTGAACTCAGCCTTGCCCACAGCTGCCACGCCCCTGGTCAGGGCAGGGAATCCCCCACCCTGAGTTCCTGTGGCCCACCACTGCTCCAAGCTGCAGCCAGGGGGCATTTAAAGAAACTGACAGTGTAATGATGTCACTCCTGGGGGGAACCCAGAAGTGATGGTGGGCGGCTCTAGGAAGAGCTGGAAACCCAACAAGGAAGTGACATCGTCACACTGGCCATGCTGCCCCCCCATGCCCCCACTCCCATGTCTCCTGCTTAGCCCGGCAACCCTAACCTTGCCATGTTTTTTCTCTTTATTACATGCCCCCAACCCACATGGCTTTTGCCAACACAGTTCCCATAATCTCCAGAGTAGCAGCAGTCAGAGGGGGATCTCTTCCTTCCTTTTTTCATCAGCAGAAAAGCTTTTTGGATCCAACCCACTGAGCAAACCCACTCAGTGCTGTGATCTGACCAGTGCAGTACTGGCCTACCAGGCAGCAGTGCTCAAAGTTACATAAAAGAAGCATTGGGATAGGGTCTAGAAAGCATGTATCCAGGGGTCGTTTCGTAGAAAAAGAGCTAGGGGAACTCATTAGCATAACTCATTAGCATATGCCACACACCCTGACATCACCGGAAGCGTGTCATAAGGCCACACCCCCTGACATCACCGGAAGTGTGTCATAAGGCCACACACCCCACCCCCAACGGTCCCGGCCGCTGCCGCCGGCCTTGCAGTTCCACTGTCGAGCCCCATGAGGGGCCCGGCGGTGGACCTGCAAGGCCGTCGGGAGTGCAAGGAAGCCCCGTGAAGGCCCTCCCTGGCCCCAGGCAGGCAGGGGTGGGGAGAGGCAGGGAGGAAGCAACTTACCCTCCCTCTTCTCCTGCCTCCTCCTGGCTGAATGAGGGCCGGAAGCGGGGCGGCCGGAAGCAGGGGGCGGGGCTTCGTCATGTGCCCCGCCCCCAGTACCTCACCCGGGGGAACTGCGATCCCCCGCGATCCCCCCCGAAATGACCTCTGCATGTATCTTCATACACCGTGAACACATGAAACCACCTTATATTGAATAAGTCCACTGGTCTGCTCCTTTTAACTGGGGATCCCAGGGATTGAACCTGGGACCTTCTGCATGCCAAGCAGTTAAACGACCACTGAGCCACAGCCTCTCCCCATGAGCCAGCATTTCCATTCCCATAAGTAGGGCTGGCAAAAGCAATGGGATTATCCACATGACTAAATGTTCTTTATCATCACTTTAAACTCCACAGTCTGGTTCACAGTAAATCATAGGGGAAAAAACTAAAGCTGAGCCCATGTGATTAAAAAAAAAAAATCTATCTCGAGAGACGTATGAAGTAATTAATGTCAGACGGAATTGTCACTGTTCCAGAAATGACTGCTTGGCTAATTTAGTAGCGAACTCCAGCCACTAATAGATGAATTGGGAGGGGGGGGCGGGGAGTATGAGCACTAAAGTTATTCTTGCACATTTGGAGCATGGATGTTATGAGGGTTTAAATGTTTACAGGAGGAACAGAAATTATTCATAAAAATAACGGTAGTAGCGAGATCCGTAACAGCATTTCAATGCACATGCCCATCATACCAGAACATGCACACCTGCCCCCCAAATTAAACTCCTTGTACCACATATGCAAGCTGATTTATTTATTGCTCTCAGTGGGGAGAATTAAATACTTGCTTAATAGAGCAACCCTGAGAACACTTTCCTGGGAGTAAGACCCACTGAATAGACCTGAGCGGGGCGCCGAGTAGACCTGCTCAGGATTGCGCTTCACAAATTGCCAGGTGACTTAAAATATGCTTAAAATAACGCTGAGCAGATTGCACCCTATCTGTTTGATTTTTAGCCCACCTTTCCGTCAGCTCGAGGTGGCTAACAAAACTATATCGCACCGTGCAGTTACGATGAAACCAAAAAATGATCCCTTCCGTCGTAACAATCTGATATGAAGAATGGGCGCTAGGATTGGTTCCTCCCTCTCCTGGGAATTAAGTTCTCAGCACGGAGCTCCCTGTACAATTGAAAGTCCCTCATGGTGGCCATGGGGGGGGGGGGATAAGAACTTTGTGAGGCGAAGAATGGACCCTGAGAACTAGAGGGTGACGTTCAGTCAGTGACGGCCAGGGCAATCTTCTGGACTAAGCTCTGGGAGACCCCAGCTCAAACCCCTCCTCAGCTGTGAAAGCTCACCGTTGGTCTTGAGTCTATCACATTCTCTCATCCCAGTCTACCTCACAGGATTATTGTTGTGAGGATAAAATAGAGCAGGCGGAGAACCCTGCTGTAAGCGGCCTTGGGTTCCCACTGGGGAGCAAAGTGGCATCTAAGTAAACATATAGTCTGTCGTTTGCATCATTTTTTTAAAAAACACAATACATGTATTTTTCCCCGTGTGAAGTGAAAAGTTATCCCGGGGAGGGGCAGTTTTAGAAGAAGAAGAAGAGGAAGAGATTGGATTTATACCCTGCCCTTCACTACCTGAAGGCGTCTCAGAGCGGCTTACAAACTCCTTCCTCCCCCTCTCCCCACAACAGACACCATTTGAAGTAGGTGGGGCTGAGAGAGTTCTGACAGAAAATGCTCTTTTTCAAGAACAGCTCTTATCAGAACTACGGCTTGCCCAAGATCATCCAGCAGGTGCAAGTGGAGGAGTGGGGGATCAAACCCGGTTCTCCCAGATTAGAGTCCACATACTCAACCATGACACCAAACTGGCTTTTAGTGGGGAAAACCTCCATATGATCTCCATATGCAGCTTCCATAGCTGCATTTTGAAAAAGCGAAAAGAAGAGAGGGAACCAACATATAGCTGCGTGGCATTTGTAGTTTAGCCCAACCATCTTTCTAAATTAGGAAATGTAGATCGCCTGGGGTTACAACTGATCTCCAGGCGACAGAGAAAATGGCCACTTCGCGAGGTGGACTTTATCACACTATACCCAAGGTGGCCAGCCTCCAGGTGGGGCCTAGGGATCTCCCGCTTTTACAACTGATCTCCAGCCGACAGAGATCAGCTCCTCTGGATAAAATGGCTGCTTTGAAGGGGGGACTCTACGGCATTGTGCCATGCCGACGCCCCTCCACTCCCCAAACCCCGCCCTCTCCCAGGTCCCACCCCCAAAGTATCCAGGTATTTTCCAACCCAAACCTGGCAACCCTAACTATACCCCATCGAGGACCCTCCCCTCCCAAACCCCGCCCTCCTCAGGCCCCACCCCCAAAATCTCCAGGCATTTCCCAACACGGAGCTGGCGACCCTGAGCTGAATGGAGATGCCAGAGAGGGATCGGAGGCTTTCTGAATCCCATCTAAACTGCAGATTTCAAGAACTTCTCCTGACCTGGATACCGACGGAGGTGGCTGCAGCTGAACAGCAGAGTCCGAAGCGCCTCACAGTCCTGGCCCTTAAGAGCTGCGAAGAGGCTTTCAGTAGAAGAAGTCCAGCTTCGTGTAACTCAACAGGGGCAGGTTGGGAAGTTTCAACAGCTCAGGAACACGCCAGGCTTAATCCTGGTCCACAGCCTAGATGGTGGCCATCATGGTAGGAGGAGGCAGCTGGTAGTAGTGAGCCGACACTCATGATTGTTGCCAAGCAACATGATTGTGAGCCAAGCAACTCCTGCAGTGATGGAAGAGCTGCTGGGGTCTGACTGTCCTTGTTCCTTGCAGACAGCAGCCCTTCTGCTTGGCCCACCGGGACCTTTCCGGGAAAGCTAAATGTCCACCCCCGAAATCCGATTGTGGTCGTTTCCCAGCAGAAAACAGTTCATACATATTGGAAATAAGGAAAGAAAATCTAGATTTCAGGACTCTGAAACTCAACCATCCTCCTTGGAAACCCCACATTCTCATCCAATTTTAGGGTTTCCAGGTCACCCCCCACCTCGGCCACTTTTGGTGTTGTG